TAGTTAATTTTACCCTCAGATCTCTTAACCCACAGAGTCTGTTATTTTTTGAAAATGCAAGCGCACGTTAAGAATACACTGCAGCCGTGCCAATAGCATTGTCTTCTGAACACACCTGAATCAATAACTCTCTTTTGGCTTTCTTCGCTGTATTTCTGATTTAAACTGCTGTCTTCGCTGATCTCAAGCAGATTTTGAAAAATTGATTATTACCGCGCATACGCGGCATCCCTGGCATACGCGGCATCCCTGGCACACGCGGCATCCCTGGCATACGCGGCATCCCTGGCATACGCGGCATCCCTGGCATACGCGGCATCCAGTTGGAGAACCTCTGGCCCTAGCTAGACTGTTAGATACTATAATAAAATAAAAACAAAAATGATGCAGGGAGGGTTCCTGTAACGAAGCTGTCAAGCTGTTTACCTCGCGCTGTGAGAGTGGTCGGTTGTAAAAACTGTGTCGACCGGTAAGTTAACATTTAAGGGAAGAGAATGCGACACTGTATTATCCCCCCCCCCCCCTCCCCCCACTCCCTACCTCCAACTCCCAACTCTAATCCCACTATTTCTTTTCTACTCAAATCCATTTTTCGCCATCTTCTTTGGTAGCTGCTTTGTTTCTCTTCCTTCACCCTCCTGGAAGTGAAATGAAATAATATACTGGAAATATAACAAACTTTTGTAGTGGGGACAGTACTACCCCCCCCCCTCGCCCCCAGCCCCCTTTATTCACGAGCAATAAGCATATTTCAGTGCAGTGCTCTGATTTATCTGTCGGAATAAATGTCGTCCATTTTCTTGCGCTCCACTAGATAATGTCCACAATTGTTCCGGTGGCCATATAGAACAAACATATTCTTCCAAGTTAAAACATGTCAAGGACATGCCATTATATACAATCTCCAACAAGACAGTGGCTATCGAATATTTTTCGAAACAAAACACAAATTACCGTTATTACTTGCTCTTAATGTCTCCTAGAAAAAACACAATTAGAGGTTTCATTTATATAATTATCTTGATGTTGTTTGCTGTTGCGAGCGTTTAGTTGCACATTTATTCCTCTTTTTACGCCACAGAGCCTTGATCTTAATTTGACACCCGCGTGTCCTCTACCGCACAATCAAATAACTTCAAAATGGATGGTACGGGAAATCCCAGCTCTCCTGTGACCTGGAAGTAAAATGCGGTTTATTTCCGGCTATGTTTATGCTTCCGGTTCATGTTGTCATGTTAGGAATTAAGACAGAAGAACTTTGGAAAAGCCCTTGCAATTTATCAAAGTTACATGATTCCATGCGTATGGGTGCAACACCAAAGTCCTGGAACAAAACAAAAGTCATCAAGTCGACGACAAAGATTCTCTGCTAGACTTACAGTTGTTGAACACGAACAACAAGAAGAATGCAATATAAATAATACGTTTGTTTGTTTGTTTGTTTGATTGATTGATGCTTTATGTCACTAGGAAATCATACAAGCGATAAACATCCGGTGACACAAAGTGCCACCATGCGGATGGGGATCACCCGTGGAGAGGTCCCAGAAACACTTTTCAACCCATAAGTTGGGTTATATTAAAGCTCCCGGCAACAGCCAGATTGGGGCTACAAAATAATGAAAAATTGCGGCCCATATTGAGACGGTACTGTTCATCGTACGTATTTATATATATATATATATATATATATATATATATATTTTTTTTACATTTATAATAGGGCTGTACCAAATATTCGCTTCGGGGGTGAATAGTGGACCTAAAAACTATTCGGTATTCGGCCGAATACTTGCAGTCGGGCCGAATAGGAATAGTGGTTATCTTACTTCTGCATACACTGCGATGGACTGAAATAACTCTCGCATTAACACAATAGTTGCTGTTGCCTAAGTCTGTCGTAGTGGGGGGAAACTGCGACCCGGTTGCGTGGTACAGCAGCTGGCAAGGTCTTTGCCTGCTAACTCGACGGAGGCATTACAGCAGAGGATCTCAAACTGGGTGCGAATGCCAGGGGTGCTGCGGCGAAAATAAAAAAAAGTCGGCTGTAAATTGTGACATTGTTAAAGAAGGCATGAAGATACTTAAAAGTAAAAATTAAATTGTCTTTCCTCGCCACCGTCGAAAAGAGGACTGGCAAAAACTGCATTTAAAAAATCAAAAACATCTTTTGCAATATATCTTTGTCATTAACGGTTAGAAAAATAATTCTTGCTTGCTACATACATCCAGTTTCAACATATGGCTGTGAGTCCTGGACAATCGGTAGGCTGACCAAACAATTTCTTGAGGCCTCAGAGATGAGGTTTTACAGAAAAAGGCTTAAAATATCTCAGGCAGAAAAAAAAAAGCAACTAATAGGTTTTGAAAGAGGCAGGAGCCGGAAGACAACTAATCACAGACGTCTTAAGGAGACAGTCATCATTTTTCGACCATGTTATGTGAAGAGGGAAAATGGAACATGTGGTGACCACTGGAAAGATCTGTGGAAGGAGGGATAGAGGAAGGAAACGAGAGAAGATTCTTGACAGTCTTGTTGCATGGCATGGAGGTGTGTCGGTACACAAACTGATACATGCTGCAGGAAATCGCAGATCGTGGCGAGATATAATCGCCCACGCCAGTTGGCAAGGTACCTGGTGATGATGATACACTATTCGTATTCGTATTCGTATTCGGCCGAATAGTTGGTCCCAGTATTCGTAATTGGCCGAATAGTGAAAATCACTATTCGGTTCAGCCCTAATTTATAACAACCTGTAAAATGTTTTGGGGAAATATTTACATTTTAAATTTCTGTATATATTTCATCCCTGTTGGTTGTTTTTAGAAGAATCCATATGTATTTTGTTTGGAATCTTTACATTTGGAATAAATTCATTTCTCCGCGTTTATTACATTTAAAATATGAAGTACGCTCTGGATATCTAATCTGCATTTTTCTATGTTTAGAATTTAATGTCGAATGTTGAATTAGGAATCGACATGATACTACTCGGGACACCTCCATCGGCGCTCCGTCCCCATCTTCAGGAGCAAACGAAGAGTTTCAATTCCGATGGCACCAGTAACTGTCTGATTGTATATCCGTCTCGCCTTTTCCTTGAGTTTTGAGCGTCGACCAGATTCCTTGGTAACTCCCCGCAGCGCCATTCTCCTCAGACCGTAATGATCTATTGATGCTTCCGCTCTGTTCACCCTCTCCCAATGGACCCTTGTCTTAATCAGTTCACAACTAAGGGGTGCAGAACCGACCAGTCTGTCTGCTTACTCATACCCCAAAACACCGGCATAACCTGGAGAGAATATCCAAAGAATACTAACTACCCAGGACCTCTAAAGTGATGCTTAGAATTAAGAATGTGCGTTAGGCTTTTTAGTTTCATTGCCAATTATCAATTCACAGTACACCATAAGTAATGTCTAATTTTGTTACACATAAAAAATTACAGTTAGCTCTAGTTATTTCGTCATCGCATTTTGAAATCATAATGCTATGAAAGCATTCTATGCCTTCTCATATTTTAGGGTAAATCGTGAGGATTTCAATTCCACTGTCTTAATCTGTAAATTTTTTCACTGACCGTTTTAATACGCGTGTATGCCTGGATGTGCGTGCGTGCGTGCGTTTGTGTATGTTGTGCGTGGGTGTTGTATGTGCATGTGTATGTATATGCATATGAGTGTGTGTGTATGTATCATGTGTCGGCTAGCACCTATATGACAATTGATAGCCCGATATCCGGAGCAAGACGTCATTGGCAAGTTCTCGTTGTGTGTCACTTATCGCGTGTTTACCGTGGCTATTCTAGTGCCAACTGTTCAATAACCTGGCAACCTTTGTGGCGTCCATGATGAATTTCTGCTGCCATTTAGTTATTAATATCAACAAATACAGGGTGCCCCAAAAGTTTCCAAACATTAGAAACAACAGAGAACACCCACTCTACTAAAAGCACACCACCAGCTGTGGTTGTATGTGTTCTTGAGCATCTAATGACCCCCATCGTAAAGTGTTTTCAGAACAGTGCAAGCAGGGCTGTCGAAATTGTTTGGGAGTAGTACCAAATATTTTTCGAAAAGTTGTTAAGAACACATTAAAATGTAAACAAATATTTAATTAATAAAAGCGCTAAAATTAGGTTAACAAATGAATCTGGCTTATCCTATATTTGATCATAAACGAATTGTGTACTAATTACATCATTGCTGTGCCATTTGTGTTTTTTTTTCTCGCCCAGTTTGTTACCAATTGCTGTGCCATTTGTGTTTTTATTTCTGGCCCAGTTTGTTACCAATTGCTGTGACGGCTTCCAGTGTGTGTAGTTAATATCGAGAAGCAATAACTGTGATCTCATCAATGCATTTATTGTTAAAGTCTTCAAAGAAGAGTGATTATTTTTTATTTTTCAATTTTTATTTTTATTTTCAAGAATCATAATATTGCTAAGGAGAGAGAAAACTAAAACGTACCAAAACATTGGGAAGGATTTCAAAAGTACAGTTTTGCTCGGCAGGAGTCAAATAGTGCCAAATGTGTACGAAAGTGCCAACTTAGGCAGCCCTGAATGGTAACCATGTACAGCATATTATGTGAATAAAAACAGTTTTCATTGAAACAATGTTTATTTCTTCTGTGAAAACCCATTTCTATACGTATCCTCTACTACTGAAGAACATGAATAAGCACAGCTGAAGTTATGCTTGTCATGGCGTTGGTGGTATGTTTATTTGTTCAATGTATGGAAACTTATGGGAACATCTGTATTTCAGTTGTTTCGTTTAGAACAGCCATCACGTGCTTTTAAACATGCTAGAGTATGACTGAACTCGAGAACCTGGTTACAACCGTCAAGATTATCAGAGAGCGAGGAAGGGGAAGGTAAAGAGATAAATACCTGGAGGGCTTGACCATAGATTCGGGCGAGACCGGAGCGTTGACCTTATCATTTATCGACAGGGCACACAATGATTGTGTTTAAATGAAATGGGTCACTCACCTGTCCACACAGATTGCGGTGAGATTGAGGATGGAGGCCGTACAGCCGAGAACATCCGAGGCTACCCAGGCATCACACAGCCCATCGTGGAGCAGCCAGCGGTACTTCATCAC